GAAAAAATCTTCACTCAAAGGCTTGTCAAGCATTGGAAAAGGCTGCCCAGGGAAATGGCTGAGTCACCATCCCTGGAGGGATTTAAAAAACATGTAGATGTGTTGCTTAGCAATGTGGTTTAGTGGTGGACTTGGCAGTGTTGGATTAATGGTTGGTTTTATGATTTTAGAGGTTTTTTCCCACCTAAATGTTTCTATGATTCTATGATGGGACAGAGAGAGCATTTCCATCACTGACATGAGACCTTCCCAAGAGCTGGTTGGTGCTCCACAGAGAAAATAGTGGTAGAGAGAGGAGAGCAAAGAAAATTATAGACCCAATTCCAGGAAAAAAAATGTTAGAAAAATTCATTCCACGATTGCTAAGTATTGAGATGATAATTAGGTGATATATACCCAGAAACATTGCCAAGAACAACTTTCACTGGCCAATCTAATTTTGTTCTGTGTCAAGATAACCAACCTTATCCAACAAAAAGAAAAACTCATGTGGGATATATCTTGAGTACCACTCTGGCCAGAGTCCCACACAATAAGTCCAGGAGAAACTGTGGGAAAAATGGTCTAAATGAAGTCACAGCAAAATTAAGCAGTGACCCACCAGTCCCTTGAGCACACCTGGAAACAAGGCACTGCTGGAATATGAGATTAACCTCACCTTTTCAAATGTGGCATTTAAAGCCCCGGTTACAGGAAGGTTAATAAAATCAGTGTTAAAAATTTCCTGGCTTGTGGCATTTTAATTCAAGCTATTTAAACTCCCTGACCTATGTGCCTCCTTGTGTAAGGCAGGTTTTGTTAATTTTCCCCACAAAAAAGATGGTTTTGGGAAGATAGAATTCCTACTGCTCTATGGCGTTTTGTGGCTGTTCATCTTAGACATGGCATATTACTTCGAAAGATATTTTGAAGTTTGTTTTTTTTTTTAATTACTCAATTAAAAAAAAATAAAACAAAAAGAAAAACAAGAACAACTATACTCCCTGCTTTCCAACATCTCCATGCAACACCACTGCACAGCTGAAATCCCCGGCACTTGGCTTTATTGAACTTCATCCCATTGGAATCAGCCCATCTCTCAAGTCTATCCAGATCCCTCTGCAGAGCCCTCCTGCCTTCCAGCAGGTCGACACTCCCTCCCAATTTGGTGTCATCAGCAAATTTGCTGATGATGGACTCAATCCCCTCATCTAAATCATCAATAAAGATATTAAACAGGACTGGAATGGGGGAATATTTGTTTTTCCATGGATTTTGGGAAGCAGAATGAGGAGATGAAATCTGGATGTTTCTGGAGGAGGTTGTAATTCACAGCTGCTTCTGCTTCCACTTGCCACTCCACACTTTTTTCAGTGGCTGAATGACACTGTCATCCCCAAAAATTGATATACTCCAAGTAATCCTGGTGATCCCTCTTGTGATCCACCTTAGAGTGCTCCTTGGTTAAGGTTACAGAAGATTTGAGTTCTGCTGAGTTAAACTTTCTCTCCTCCCAATTCCAATAATACTACTAGTAGTAAATATTACAATAATAATAATAATAATAATAATAATAATAATAATAATAAAGTATACTTTTCCCACAAGAAATCCTGGATATCCACCCTGAAAAACAGAGTTTGAACTAGAGCTGTCTGACATTAAGGAGTCCCAGGCAAACCAGATTCCCTAAAGAACTGCCTTGGTATTCCTCCACAAACTGCTGCAAATGGAGCTGTGGAGCTCTCTAATTAGGTTGATCTCTCTAATTAGGCTGGTCAGCAAGTTTAACCTCCACATGAGGTTGAACTGATGAGGGGTTGTAAGTCCATCATCAAGTCAGTCCAGGGCCAAGGGGAACTCCTCCAAGTAATTAATCTTTCCCAGCCGGGGGAGCACATCCAGATCGAGCATGGAGGAAACAGTCCCGAGATGGACAGACAGGTATAAGGACAGAGTGGTATCACCCTTTATTAAACAAAACCACACAAAATCTAAGCCCCCTTTTCTTTGCCCTTTCATGATATTAAAGACTAATCAGTGCCACCCCCATTGTCTTTTTTGCTTCAAGATTTCAGGGTTGTCTGTTGGATACCTGAATATACCATTGGACAAGACCACTGGACAGTAAGTACCTGCAGGGATGTTGGTACTTGTTTCTATTTATTTATCAGCCATAAAGAAAAGTAGAGGCTCAGAGCACATGCAGAACATGCCCATCAAGCTCTGCCCCTGCTGTGAGCAGACACTTGGATGCCGGCGGGGAGGCCGCGCTCTTTTGTTCCAGCCATTCCATGATCTAATAAGAGGGAAGTTTTTTTCTTAGCAAACCAGTCATCCATCTTCCCGAAGCAGGAGGCAGATGATTAGTGTTGCATTACCCTCTCCTGACACTTAATTAATGACAATATTTGGGGATGTTACAGCAAAAGGCATTCGACGTGTTGGTCTCCCGCAGTGAAGGGACACGAGGAGCTACAGAGGTTCAGATAAACATTGAATAGAATCACAGGATGCCAGGTTGGAAAGGGACATCCAGGATCATCTTATCCAAACTTCCTTGGCAAAAGCATGACCTATAAAAAATCCTGCACCCCATCCAGCTGGATTTTAAAACTGTCCAACATCCAGAAATCCACCACTTCCCTGCAGAGATTATTCCAAAGGCTGTTTGTTCTCATGGCAAAAAATTTTCCTCTTATCTGAGTGTCTAACATCTGAATCTCCCCAGCAGTAACTTTACCCATTACCCCTCAAATTTTCCATGTGACTTCTTGCAAAAAGGGAGTCTCCATCTTATTTGTAGCCACCCTTTAAATACTGGGACATGGTGACAAGGTCTCCCTTAAACCTTTTCTCAAGGCCGAACAAACCCACCTCTGATTGAGACCCACAGAAAGGAAACACCTCCAAGTTGCCTTGGCCAATGCAAACAGGTCCATCCCCTTGCAATCTTTTCCACAGGGACACCCAGCCAAGGGGCCAACCAATTTTTGCTTGCTGGGAATATCAACCCTGGAAGACCTTGGAGCTGTGTCCATTGGAATGCCACCTGAGATGATGTGTGTATGCATGGGGGGAAAAGCCAGCACTCAACTCCAAGCCATAAGCCAACGTGTTAAAAGGCTCCAGCTGGGCAGGCAACAGCCATGGTTGTTCCAAAAAAGCTGATATTTCTACACCAGCTGCTTTTTGCAGCCACTGAGGGTGACTTCAGTGTCACATCAGTAACTGCCAAGGGATGGGCAAGCTGGGCACAATGAGGTATCTCTTCAAATATTTAGAGATTGCAAGTGTCTTGAGTTATTCTGCGCATTTGCATTAAAACCCAGTGGTCTTTTCACACAGCACAATAAATATTCATGTTTTTCTAACCTAAGCTACAATGCACTGAGATTCATCATTTGTCTAGTCCACATTTCAATTCTCTTTTCTCACGGTTCTTTGATTGTGCCCAAGTATCCCATTCTTCCTTGTTTTTATGCCTCTAATTTTGCCTTGTAGAATAGCCTAGAAATCACTATTTACAACTGAACAGGCAGCTCTCACTCACTTCAATACCTTCTCCCTGTTCAAAGAGGAAAATCATAATTACACTCAAACTCATAAGAAAATAGAAAACCAGAGGAAACTTCCATGCTTTTCTATGTATTTCCATCCAGGGAGAACAGCTATTTGCAAAACAAAGAAATGTTTCCCAAAGAACATTTGCAATCCTCAAAACATGAAAACCAAGTCAGGCTGCAGCAATGAACGGCACAGCTGAAACCAAAGGCCAGTGAAGAGAGGGGTGATGTTCTTTTCCCTGGGGCAAAATGATAACAGAGCCCTTGGCCATGTTAAAAGATCCCCTTTCCTGATGTTTCTGCAAAGGTCTCAACTCCCGGTTGTGTCCACATTGTAGGCCCTGCAGCCTCATCCCCCAGTGCAAGCCAGGCCCAGGACCAAAATTAAATGAAGGATGTGTCCTAGTTAACAAAATTTGCTGAAAGTCAGACTAGATTAACCCAAATCAGCCCTACAGCAATTGTCCATCTGGACTGGGGTCTGGTAAACATCTGGGCAGCTGCAGAGGTGGGTTTTTTACCTCCCTGCTGCTCAGAATTGGGCAGGATGAGACCCACCTTCCACTTCCAGCCTCACGGCAACAGGGACAACCTCAGCACTACCCAAGTTCTGGCAAAGGATGCCTCCTACGACCTGCCAGTGTCAGGAACAGGAGAGTCAACACCTTCAACACACAAAATCAGGAGGTTCTAACTATTAGCTGTGCTCCACATTATGGCAGTTACACAGTGAATTTGCTTTTACGAGGAGCAGGTTTGCTTTGGGGACCCTTTCAGATACACAGGTTGGCAGCTGGGTGCTTTTTCCTTTCTGCTTTACCATTTCTTGAGTCCTCTGGGGCAAGGGGGGGACAGGTAGGGAGAGCACATCTGGTCTCTGCTTAAAAACTTGCTACAAGGAAAGAATCCACAGCCATTTGCAAGCCACTGTTTATGGTTTCAGCATTTCCACAGGAAGTTTTTGCCCCTGTTGTTGCCACATCCAAGCACGTTTTCCAGGTTCAAGAAGCCTCCACTCCACAGCACTTGAGTTACTGTCTGGGGGAGCACAGCCCACTGCATTTTGTACACCTCCCCATCTACTTCCACCATCACTGCATCCCCAACCAGCCCCAGATCAACCATTTAGACCAACTTATTGCAACGGTGATGGGGAGATGAAGACAGACACGAGCAGGTCTAGAGAATATTCCATATTTCTCCTTTCAATCCCCCAAAATTCCTCCAAAATCCTCATTAGTTGCAGCCTCAAACCCTGAGCACGGTAACATGTTGGGCCTCGTCACATAAATCAAACTCAAAAAGTTTGGTTTCCACCTCCGAAAATCAGTGTCAGAAATGACCCCTGGTGAGAGTTTGGTATTTACACACCAGCCACACTGAACCTGAGCACTGAAAACTTCACTCCTTAGGGAGTCAGGGAGAATAAATTACAGCAAGGGATCGATACTTTACCGAGAGGTTGATAGCCTTGTCTCGAAGGGCCTCCAAATGGGTTCCTGCTCCCAAATCCACTCCCATCAATGGATCCATAAGACATTTTCTAGATAGTGATGGATGTGAGATTACACTTCAAACCTAAAAAACAGAGAAAAAGACAGACATAGTCATGCTAAAAGTCAGTTAAACCCCAGTAGTCGAAGAAAACAAGAGGACTAAAAGGACAAATAAAAGATACAGGGCAATCTCCAAACTCCAGGATGTCCACCTGCAAAAAATTAAAAGCACTAAAATCCAGGTCTTCTGGGCTACAAACAATCTTGGGGACAAACAAGTCATTTCACCTCCATGTGTCTTATTTTCTCCATTGGTAGAGGGCAACTTTTAATTCCTCACTGCTCACAAAGTGCTTTGAGATCCTGAGCTGGTGGGAAAGACTAAGCACTCAATCAAAAACCAGGTAATGTTGTCTTCTGGAACATTACCAGTACACAGCTGGCTGGGAGTCCATCCATCACACTGCAGTCTTGATGAGCTCTCAAAAGGGACAGTTTGTTCAGTTTGTTGCTATATCATAAGCTCCTGGGCTTCCAGTAAAAATATTGGAGCCAGAGTTATTTTTCCTTGCTGGTTAAAAAAAAAAAAAATTAAAATTAAAAAAACCTGCAAGGCCTAAGGTAGCAGCAGCAGGATGAAATCAATGCAGCACTGCCAGAGGAAGACTCCTTCATCCCCCTTCCCACCTCCCCATCCACAATGTTTTACCAGGGCCACAGAAAGCCTCCAGTATATCAACGGTGTCCCAAGACTTTGATAGGAAAAATAGCTCAGCTCTAAGGCATGGAGATGGTGATGGAAAATGCTACAGGATCAAACCCAGCTACTACTTTCTTACACTAAGGCTATGAAAAAAAAAAAAAAAACAACCCAAAAACAAACAGATGTGACTACCACCAAAAAAAAGGTAAAAGACAGTGTGGCCTTCTGGGAGAGTCCCAGGGAGAGGACACATTGATGTGAGATGACTGGGAATACCACCTGCCTCTCATGCCCTTCATCTAGGGAGTTGTTCTGACACATAAAAGCCATTTTTTGACTGAAGGAAAACCAAAATAACTCAGTCAAAAAACCACCCTCTTCAACAATCATTGCAGCACCTTTAGCGCGATGGCAGAATCACAGAATGGTTTAGGTTGGCAGGGACATTTAAAGGTCACATCATCCAATCCTACTGACATGGACAGGGGCACCTTCCAGTAGATCAGGTTGCTCAGAGCCCCATATTTCCAGGCATGTGGCATCTACCACCTCTCTGGGCAACCTGTGCCAGTGTTTCACCACCCTCACCATAAAAAAAAATTCCTCATTATATCTACTCTGTGTCTACTCTCTTTCAGTTTAAAACCGTTACCCACTACAGGCCCTGCTAAAAGGTCTGTTCCCATCTTTCCTGTAGGACCCATTTAAGTATTGAAAGGTCACAATAAGGTCTCCCTAGAGCCATCTCTTCTCCAAGGCTGAACAATCCCAACTCTCCCAGCCTGTCTGCACAGCGGAGGAGCTCCATCTCTCTGATCCTTTTTGTGGCCTCCCCTGGTCCTGCTCCAATAGGTCCATGTCTTTCTTGCACTGATAGAGATGTGGAGGTGGAAGGCTGAGTGACATGAGCCGCAATGCTTTGTTCTGGGCTTGGATATTCAAACTACTCATCTCCTGGATGAGTCACTTTTCCTCTGACATGCAAAAAGCTGGGAATGGCCTCCAGTTCCTATGACACATGACCACGTGTGGCATGATGTTCTCATGTATGGATTGATAAATACCTCAGGAAAAGGCTAAAGTCTCTTTTGGGATGCACTGGCATGGTGTACTTGCAACCATTCCTTAGGTTTGTCCTTCAGGGAAAGCAGAGCACCAGAAATTCCCAGTTCTGCACGGTACTGGGAACAGTCTAATGGCCTCAGGCACCTGTTGTACTCCATTCTCCTTTTTTCTTTCAGAGCTTCAAAACCAAGCAAAAAATCACTGCTGAGATTCGTCAGACAGGAAAACTCTTGGACTAAAAGGAATCACTCACCATCCTGCCTTAATTGGGCCAGACACATGAAAGAGGATGAAAGTGCAATCGCCTTGAGACAGCAAGGGTTGGGAGCCAAATCCATAAAAAGTGGAGAAAATCCAGAGTCCAGCTTCCCCTCCCAGCATCAATGTACCACGTACTCACATAATTGGCATCTGAGGCTGCTGCAGGTGCCCCCAGGCCATACATCCCTCATTTTAGGGAAACAGCCTTGAGCCCAAACTTATAGAAGCCAAACCTGTGAGAGCCCAAGCAGCCAGAGAGAGGAGGAGAAGTGTTTTTGTGTGTGCACTCAGGAGACAGAAAGTGGGGCCAATAAGAGGAACCAAACAGCAAACTTGTAAACCAAGGGTTTGCAAGGCACTCAACAACACAATCATCATGTCAACCCTGTAAAACTGTAACACTTTAAGCTCCATGGAAATACACTCTACAAGTTTTCTCTCTCCCAGGAGACCTTAGAGTAACTTCCAGTACCTAAAGAAGGTCTGCAAGAGACGTGGAGAGGGACTTTTTAGCAGGGCTTGGAGTGATACGACAAAGGGTGATGGCTTAAAACTGACAGAGGGGAAGTTTAGATCAGCTTTTTGGAAGAAATTCTATATTCCCAGGGTGGTGAGTCGCTGGCATGGTTATCTCAGAGAAGTTGTGGTTGTCCCGTCCCTGGGAGTGTTATTAAAAAAGTAAAACTCAGTTCTTGCGTCATGCAAAGTTTGTACCAACTTTTGTTTAAGCTGTTCAGACAAGGAGAAGACGTCAATGATTTTAAACTGAAAGAGAGCAGGTTTAGATGAGCAATTAGGAAGAAATTCTTTCCTGGGAGGGTGGGGAGGCCCTGGCACAGGTTGTCCAGAGAAGCTGTGGCTGCCCCATCCCTGGAAGTGTCCAAGGCCAGGCTGGATGGGGCTCTGAGCAACCTGGGCTAGTGGAAGGTGTCCCTGCCCATGGCAGGGAGGTGGAACTAGAGGATCTTTAAGATCCTCTCCAACTCAAACCATTCCATGATTCTATGATGTCATGATGCAAATTCTTCATGGAAACCACAAAACAACACAAGAAACATTGGAAGATTCATTTGGGGAGTGGTGACCACAGTGGACTGGGAACAAACCTCACCTCTCCCAGATTTCATCACAAAATGCAACCCAAGATCCAGCAAAACCCTTACCTGGGAAAATATGGGCACATGGAAGACAGTCAAAAGAAAGCTTTTGGGCAGGGAAAAGGAATTATCTTTTTATTTTTACCTCCCATCATGGCTACAGATTAAATCCTCTGTAAGCAGAAATACGGGGCAACCAAACAGCCTGAAAACAGCCTCTGTACAGAGGTTCATCCTGGCCCACCCTTTCTCTTTAGAGATAAGCAAGTGGAAGCATTTGCTGCCATGACTTCCCCAGGACACAACAACAAACACAGAGTGAAAGTCTACACCATGTTGTAAAATGACTTGATTACAACTGGGCAAGTGTTGCTTTGGCAAACAGTGAATGTGTCTATTTTTTCTCCAACAGAGTGGAAAGGGGAGGGGATAGAGGGAGGGCTTTTGGAGCACTCCAAATGTTTCATGTTGATTTACCCTTTTCAGAGTATGTTTCCATTTTAAAGGTTTTTCTCCTTGTAATGGAGGAAAAATAGAAAGAATTGAAAATGAAATATTTTGTTTTAGCTTAACCAACCTTTTTATCATCAACCACCTCCCACCCCATCCTACTAAGCTATTGAAATATCCCTTATTCACACAGCTCTGGAGTCACATTCTTACCCCACAGTAATATATTTACAGGAAAATTTAAGAGCAGATCTAAATCCCTTTAATTTGATTGGCAATAAAAGCATTTCCCTCCCCATTCCCATGGCACTTCCCAAGGCTTTTGTCTACTGCTCCTCAGGGAGACTTGTCCAATTTACTGTGAAGGCAGTTTGTACAAATTGGAACAAGCATTTCCTAACATACTAAACACAGGAAAAAAAAAATAAAGAAAAAGAAGAGGGAAAAAAAGGAAAAAAAAGAAGAAAAAAGATTTTATCACAGTTTTATCCCCATCACCTAAAATACAAATGAAGGAACAACCACAGCCAAGCCAGATTAAAAGGACATCCATCCTACCAGAGGCATGAATTTGTATTTTAACAACATGCAACTACTTCTTGCTTGGAATATCCTGTAGAAGTCAATCATGCCATGAATAAAATAGGATGTAGCAGCTCAAGGAAAGGGTTGGTCTATGTTTCTTGGACTGGGAAGGAAATTGGCAGGTAAAACCAAGCAGGTAAAACTATTTAAGAGTTCTACATCCATCAGTCTCCATTTAGAGACACTCAGATGGGCAGTGTGAGTAATTGTAGGAATGAAAGGTGAGGTTTCAGCATAGAAGAAATTATTATTATTATTATTATATCAATTATTAAACTGTTCTTATCTCAATCCATTAGCTTTCTCACTTTTACCCTTCCAATTCTTTCCTACCATCCTGTTGGGGGAGGTGAGAAAGTGGATTTGTGGTGCTGTGGTTTAACTCCCATCTGGAGTTAAACCACAGCAGCACTTCAGACAAGTCAGATGTTTTTAAAGCAGAGTTGGACTGAGAAAGACATGAGCACACTGGAAAGAAATGGAAAAGGAGGACAGACATGGACATATTGGAGTGAATCCACTGAAGGGCCATGAAGATGACTGAGGGATGGGAGCATCTGGTTTATGAAGAGAGGCTGAGGGAGCTGGGACTGTTCAGTCTGGAAAAGGACGTGTGTGGGGGTGGTATTCAGGTGTATAAATATCTGATGGAAAGAAGTAAATATGATGGAGTCAGACTCTTCTTGGTGGTGCTCAGTGACAGGACAAGAGTCAATGGATTGAAACATGGGAAATTCCACTTCAAAAACTAAAAAAAGAAGCTGATTTTTGGGGGGATTTGGAGTGGCTTTTGTGCTTGTTTCGTGGTTTATGGTGAGGGTGGTCAAACATCAGCACAGGCTGCACAGAGAGGTTGTGGAGTCCCCATCCTTATTCAAGCCCTGACTGAACATGGGCCTGAGTAACCTGCTCCAGGTACCC